GGTCCCGCCCGAGCCTGGGTGTCCCCCCGGGCAGGCGGGGTGGGGCAGAGGAGGCTTCCCAGAGCAGCGATGCCCTTGGTGCCACCGGAAGGAACCCAGTGCGCAGGACTGTTGTCTCGCTTGATCAGAGCACAGGGCAGGCGGCCGCGTGGACGCTGGCTGGTCGGGCCCTTCGGCCTGCTCCTGAGGTCGGTGTTGTCTGGGTGCTGGCCTCGGGGCCACCCTCCTGGGGGCACCCGGCAGGTTTCCCGCGCGGCCTCGGAGCCCGGCCCGGGAGATGCAAGGGCGTCGTGCACGGGCGTCGGGGGCACCAGGGAATCTGCCTGGTGACACTGACACGTGCAGGTGAGCACCTGCTCTGCTGTGGAGCACGCGGCGGGTGCCCAGGCAAAGACAGAGACCACAGCAGCCTTTGTCCTGGAGAAGCAGACGTATTTAAATCAGCCGGCCGAAAGCATCATTAGCAGTTGAGCTCTCCAACCCCTAGGGCGGCCTTCCCCTCCCAGGAAGGCCTGGGTCGCCCGCTAAGAGCGACTCAGGTTAGTAGCCTGTTGGCTTCCTGCTTGCTGGAAGGGAACGGAACCGACACGCGTGATAAACCAATGGCACCAAGGCTCACTGCTTGGAAGGCACCCGACCAGCCAGCGTCCCTGTGGTCCCTGCCCTGTGCTTCGATCAAGCGGGATAACAGCCCTGAGCACTGATGGGTTCAGCGTGTGCTTCTGAACTTAGGAAAAAACATGGCCGCTCCGTCCCGGGCGACGGCAGATCCAAGCCGGCTCTCCTGCATGAGAAGCCGGCCACGGGCAGGCCTCGGTGGCCCGGCCTCCAGAGACCCGCCAGTTCCTGCCTAAAGCTTCCTGCTGCGCAGCCCTCAGAGCCTGCAAGAGGCTCAGTCCGGAGTGGTTTGCAAACTGGGAACCCTGGTGGCTTCAGCAGTTCCTGGAGTGGGGAGAAGGGAGGAGACCCCACCCAGACCCACGGAGCCAGGTGCCTGTGTGTGAGCTTCCCTGAGAGCAGGACGCCAGGGAGCGGCATCCCTGGGAAGGGCCAGGACCTCCACTCCCTTCACGGCCCGCGCCGAGGAGGGAAGGGATTCAGAAGGGTTCGTGTTTAAAACCAACTTGAACACTCCAGGCGGTGCCTCCCTCGAGTGTTTCTCCCTTTAAAAGCATGCCACCTCCCTTTTGGGTCAGGCTCTTGTCTCACACACAGCCATGAAGTCCAGCATCAGCTCGGAAAAGGTAAACACCACAAACCCAAACCACACTTGTTTTTCAAAAAAATAAAATGGATCCAGAATTTAGATAAAAGGGACTTTGTTAAGGAAATTTCTGTGGCGGCTCTTTCAAGGCCTATTATGAATACTGGAAAACTGTTTGGTTTTTTTTTTCCTCTTAATTAAAAAGTTATTTTTGGTAAAGCCCCAAACATGGCACAACTCAGCCTACCTTCTGTTATTGGATGTTTCCTTGTTGTCAATTGGAAGAGATTTCTTAGCCGGGCTCAGTGGCTCAGCCTGTAATCCCGCCCTTTGGGAGGCTGAGGTGAGTGAATTGCCTGAGCCCGTGGGTTCGAGACCCACCTGGGCAACTTGGTGAGCCCTCTTATCTACCATAAATCAAAAAAATCAGTCGGGCATGGTAGCACATGCCTGTAGTTCCAGCTACTTGGAAGGCTGAGGCGGAAGGATCGCGGGAGCCCAGCAGGTGGAGGCTGCGGTGGCCGGGAGCGGCCGCTGCACTCCAGTCTGGGCGACGGAGTGAGACTCCGACTCAAAAAAAAGAGAGATTTCTTGGGGGTGTTCTGTAGACACATATGTTATCTTTTCCTTTCCACCGAGGCTATTGCTCTCATTTTGGTTTTCCTGAGTTCATGTCTTCAGCCAACCACAGCTGCAACCACCGCCCCGACAAACAGCTAACACTTACTGAGCCCCTGGGTTTATCGATCCACAGTGCTCTAACTAACTTGATAACTGATTAAGTTAAAAGACTATTAAATTGGATAACTGATTATCTAGTTAAAAGTTCACTACAATCCTAGAAGGTTTGCGCTAGCATTACCCCTAGGTTACAGATGAGAAAACTGTAACTTGTGCAAAGTCACACGACGAGTAATTGGTAGAGGCTGGAGACAAAGCCAGGCAGAGCCCGGATGTGCTTAGCCATTGTTTATGGTTGGCTGACTCTGAGCTAACTCACCAAAGCAGCCCACCCTTGGTAAACACCTCTTACCGGTCAAGTGCTAGGGTAGATGCTGGGAATAGCTCAGGAATGACAGATGGGCCCTGCCATGGGGGTGCCTCGCCAACCGAGGAGGGACCCACTTGGAGGAAAGCAGGTGCTGAGTTCCAACAGGACCCTGCGAAGGCATCACGACACGCGGTCAGCGCTGCAGACGAGGAGTCTGCGAAGGCTGCGCCCACGTCGGAGACCGCGTCACGGAGCGCCTACTGTGTGCGAAGCACTGACCTTGGTGCTTATCATTTAGCTCGAGCACTCACAATTCCACGAGGCAGGAACGCTAATTATGCCCACTTTAGGGATGAGGAGACTGAGGCACGGATAAGATAAATGACTAGTCCAAAGTCGCTCAGCTGGAACCCCGGCTGCGAAAAGATGAGGGGGGCTGTGTCTGGAGACGCCAGGCTGCACGGTGGCTGCTGCGGGGGAGGTGACGCTGGACCCCGCAGAGCCGTGTAGCCCAACTAACAGACACGGGCTGTGTCCCGCAGGCAACGGTGGTGCCATTTAATGTGAGGATGGCCGGAGGGACCGGCCTGGGGTAGGGACGTTCTGGGGTCAGGGCGAGTCCGAGGTACCTGTGGGACACATGCCCACGGTTCCGTGGCTTGGGCCGGGCTGGAGCTCCAGCTGTGCGGGGCACACCTGCCGGGGCCGGGGCGGCCAGGGCGCGGCTGGCAGAGACTCTCACGGGGCCTTTGTGACAAAGGCAGATGCTGGAGCCCTGCAACGACTGGCGGAGGACCTCTGCTGGAGTGACAGGGAAGGGCAGCGATGGGGCCCGGGGGGACGAGGCCACAAGACTCTGGGGCCGAGGAAGGAGGAAGCCCGAGAGCCCCCGCGGGCAAGTTCAAGGAGGCCCCGCGGGTGTGAAACGCCGCCTGGGGCGGAGACCTGACTGCAGGGACTGGCCGGGGAGGCCGTCTGGCGAGGGACTGGGCCAGGAGAAGGCAGCCAAAGGGGGCGCGGAGAACGGGAGCAGCTTGAGCCGTGGGGCTCAGGGGAGAGAAGGAAGTCGTCCAGGCAGAGGACGGTGGCCTCACAAGCAAGAGGGGCTCTGCCGCGAGAGCACGGACCGGCCTGGGCCACGGAGTGTCCCCCCACGTAGGGACACAACTGCAGAGAAGCGGGCAGGGACGGGGTGGCGGCAGGGGAGCTGCTGCTGGGACCAGGCGCTGCTGGGGGCAAGGAGGTGTCTGCCAGCTGAGGGGCGCCCTGCCCCGGCTTTGCCCTGGGGTGAGCCCCTTCTGCTCCTGCCTGCCCAAGCTCTGCTGCCCCACGGCCACCTCCTCACCCGCCTGCCCACGGCCCACAGAGTCCTTCGCTCCTGACTTTCGCAGGCCTGGAAACCTCTTTTCAGTGTTCAGTTCTCAGGGTAACTGTCGTTTCGAGAACACGCAATCTCTTGTGCTGTTTCGGCCTCTAACTTTAACCATTTTCTCTGCAAGGTATTTGAAAGTCGAGAAAGGGCCGAGGGGGGCCCTCCTGGGGCCGACAGGAG